AATTATTTCTTATGTCTTAATCAGGAACCAATGTAAAGAACAAAAAAAGAAATTAACGGACAGAATACTAGAAATAGATCAAGAGTATGCGATTTCCCCCTCACCAGAATTGTATAAAGAGAGGCTTTCTCTCCAGTCAGAATTTCAGTTATTATCCACTTCAGAGACTACTGATCGTTTGATATGGGCAAAAGCCACGTATTATGAGCATGGAGAGAGAGCAGGTAAACTCCTCTATTGGCAAATTAAAGAGACAGCGGCATCAAGAATGATAATGGAAATTAGGAAAGAGACAGGACAAATTACATCCAAGCCACAAGAAATAAATAATATTTTTTAAAACTTTTATATTAAATTATGCTCTTCAGAATCTGTCAACGAACCATCATGTATAGCCCAGTTTCTTGATTCACTTAATATACCCTCCTTAAGCATGAAAGATAGGGAAGTTTTGGAATGGCCACTAACTATTGATGAAATCTATGAAGCAATATCCAACATGCAATGTTCAAAGTCCCCAGGTCCAAATGGTTTCACAACCGAATTTTATAAATGTTTTAGTGACCAAATTTCACCTTTGCTTTTAGAGGTTTTTAATGAATCATTTGAAAGAGGCTGTCTGCCACCAACATTTTATCAGGCTAATATTTCTTTAATACACAAGGCAGAGAAAGACCCCTTAGAGCCTAGTTCATATAGACCTATCAGTCTTCTTGACGTTGATAACAAAAGTTTGGCCAAGGTTTTGGCTACCAGACTTGAGAAAGTTCTCCCCTCTGTGATCTCCACAGATCAAACAGGATTCATCAAGAATCGCATCTTATTCTTTAATATTAGAAGATTATTAAATATTATTTACACATCAAGTCCCAATCCCACTCAGCCCGAGGTACTTATTTCTATAGATGCAGAAAAAGCCTTTGATCGGGTTGAGTGGGATTATCTTTTCACCACTTTGGTGAAATTTGGATTTGGTTCTAATTTTATTTCATTTATTAAATTACTATATGCCCACCCTCAAGCTTCTGTACAAACAAACAATAACAACTCTGGTTATTTTCCATTAAGTCGGTCTACAAGACAGGGTTGTCCTCTGTCACCCCTGCTATTTGCTTTAGCTATAGAACCCTTAGCAATTTCTTTACGTGCATCCACGGTCTATAGTGGGATAATAAGAGGGGGAAAGGAACACAAAGTATCGTCATATGCGGATGACCTTCTAGTTTACATTTCTATCCCTTACAATCAGTACCAACCATTATGTTAATTTTAGAACAATTTGGAAAAATCTCAGGATATAAGATTAATTTTTCTAAAAGTGTTATATTCCCGATCAACCCTAAAACCCAATTAGAAATACTGTCATCTTTTCCTTTTAAACTTGGCAAATTAAAGAGACAGCGGCATCAAGAATGATAATGGAAATTAGGAAAGAGACAGGACAAATTACATCCAAGCCACAAGAAATAAATAATATTTTTAAAAACTTTTATATTAAATTATACTCTTCAGAATCTGTCAACGACCCATCATGTATAGCCCATTTTCTTGATTCACTTAATATACCTTCCTTAAGCATGGAAGATAGGGAAGTTTTGGAATGGCCACTAACTATTGATGAAATCTATCAAGCAATATCCAACACGCAATGTTCAAATTCCCCAGGTCCAGATGGTTTCACAACTGAATTTTATAGATGTTTTAGTGACCAAATTTCACCTTTGCTTTTAGAGGTTTTTAATTAATCATTTGAAAGAGACTGTCTACCACCAACATTTTATCAGGCTAATATTTATTTAATACACAAGGCAGAGAAAGACCCCTTAGAGCCTAGTTCATATAGACCTATCAGTCTTCTTGACGTTGATAACAAAAGTTTGGCCAAGGTTTTGGCTACCAGACTTGAGAAAGTTCTCCCCTCTGTGATCTCCACAGATCAAACAGGATTCATCAAGAATCGCCTCTTATTCTTTAATATTAGAAGATTATTAAATATTATTTACACATCAAGTCCCAATCCCACTCAGCCCGAGGTACTTATTTCTATGGATGCAGAAACAGCCTTTGATCGGGTTGAGTGGGATTATCTTTTCACCACTTTGGTTAAATTTGGATTTGGTTCTAATTTTATTTCATTTATTAAATAGATATTTGATTTACCTACTACACATTTTTTTAAATACTTACAAGCTCGCAGTTTTGCTCAAAATAATTTTTCATTGTTTCCTTGTGAGCCGCCAACTTCTCAAATGGAGGCATTGTTTTTGCAGAACCCATTTACCAAAGGAGGAATTTCAATTGTATATAATAAATTATCACAGCTAGAATGTGATGTTTTATTAGAGCATCTAAAGACAGCATGGGAAGATGACCTTGGAATAGATATCGAAGACTGGCAATGGGATGAAGCACAAGAACAAGTTCACTCTTCTTCCTTGTGTATTAGACATGGTCTAATACAATTCAAGATCCTACATCGACTTCACCTGTCTAAACTAAAGCTCTCTAAGATGTTTTCCTCTGTAGACCCACTATGTGATAGGTGCGGTCAAACTCCAGCATCACTAGGACATATGTTTTGGAGTTGTTCTAAGATTAGTAATTATTGGATTTCAGTTTTTCATTTATTGTCAGAAGTGTTGGGAAAGCAATTGGATCCAGACCCAATTTTAGCTGTTTTTGGTGTCAGTAGTGATAATATGGAGCTATCTACGTAGATTGATTTTGCTCAACTGGAAACAGAAAGAGCCACCCCACTGCTCGGCACTGATTAAAAATGTTATGTCCTACCCGCAACTTGAAAAGATCAGATTTTCCCTAAAAATTCAAACTAAAATTTTTTATGCAGCATGGAAGCCTTTTATTAATTATTTTAATAAGAATGCAATAGTTGAACCCTAATGTAAGCAGGAACCCCCCCTTTTTTGTCTTTTTCTTTCTTTTTTCCCCCCTCTTCTTCTCTTCTTTTTCCATATCATTACGATGTTAAAATGGTTAAATTAGGATTTGTATAAAAGTGTAAAAATTTGTATTGGAATGATTTTTGTTTTTGTGCCAATGTAAAAAACTTAATAAAGAGAATGTAAAAAAAAAAAAAAAGTTATCCCTGGCGGAGCAGAACTACGACATTGGCAACAGGGAGCTTCTGGTAATAAAGCTTGCAGGGCAATCAAGCAGGGAGCAAACCACCTGTTTGAAGTCATCACAGATCATCGTAATCTGGAATATCTTCAAGACGCTAAAAGGCTCAACCCTCGACAGGCCCGCTGGGCACTTTTCTTCACCCACTTCAACTTCTCTATTGACTGTTCACAGTCTCTTACCGACCTGGATCAAAGAACCAAAGGGCTGACACACTCTCCCACATCCATCACACCAAGAAGAACAACACACCTCCAGAACGCATACTCACTCCAGCCATTATAGTAAGTACCATTCAGTGGTCCATGGATGACCAGATCACGGAAGCCACTCACTCTGAGCCTGCTCCGCTGGGAGGTCCAGAAGGGAAGGTTTATGTTCCATCATCCCTTCGACTGACCCTTATAGAATCAGTACACTCATCTCCGGGCTCTGGACACCCAGGCAGCCAGCAAACTGTCTTGCTCCTCCAAAACCAGTACTTGTGGCCCAACATGACCTGAGAAGTCTCCCAATTCATTAAGAGTTGCTCACTCTGTGCCATGTCCAAAACCCCCCGTCACCTGCCTCAAGGTAAACTGGTTCCATTATCCATTCCTTGTCGACCCTGGTGCCGTCTCGGAGTAGACTTCGTTACTGACCTCCCTCCTTCCAACTTCAATACCTGTGTCCTGGTGTTCATGGACAGGTTTTCTAAGGCATGCCAACTCATCCCTCTGAGACCGCTGAACACTTATTCCAACATGTCTTCCGTAACTATGGTCTACCCAAGGATATCGTCTCTGACAGGGAACCTCAGTTCATCTCCAGGGTTTGGCAAGTCTTCTTCCAACTCCTAGGGGTTTCCATCAGCTTATCATCTGGATATCACCCACAGACTAATGGCCAGACTGAGCGTAAGATCCAGGAAATTGGGCGATACCTGAGATCTTACTGCCATAGCCATAGTTTCATAGTTTACTGCCATAGACATAGTTTCCTGCCCTTGGCCGAGTATGCCCAAAACTCCCTATGGCAAAGTACCACCGGCCTGACACGCTTTCAGGGCATACTCTGTTCCAGCCACCCCTGTTTCCCTGGTCAGGTGAGACATCAGACGTTCCAGCTGTGAACCATTTGTTCCAGGAGAGCAAGAGAGTCTGGGACTCAGCACATGTCCTTCTGCAACAGGCAGTGCGGAGACATAAAAGTACCACCGGCCTGACACGCTTTCAGGGCATACTCTGTTCCAGCCACCCCTGTTTCCCTGGTCAGGTGAGACATCAGATGTTCCAGCTGTGAACCATTTGTTCCAGGAGAGCAAGAGAGTCTGGGACTCAGCACATGTCCTTCTGCAACAGGCAGTGCGGAGACATAAAAGCCAGGCCGATGCTCACCGTTCCAATGCTCCCCAGTACCATCCGGGTCAAAAGGTCTGGCTTTCCACCAGGGACATCCATCTCCAGCTGCCTAGTCACAAGCTGTCTGGTGCTGTTGTTCACATGCGTGCATCAACCTCCCTGGCTCCTTAACCTGATCTACTTACCTGTTAATCTTCTGTCGTCTGCTCAGCTCTGATCCATCACCACCTGCAAAGACACCAGTGTCAAGTCAAGTCAAGTCACCTTTATTTATATAGCGCTTTGAGCTGTACTTACCAGTGTTGTCCTCTTCTGTCTTCTGTGTCTAGTAGTATTTGTATGTAGTGTAATCTCTCATGCTCTGATCCAGATGTAAATTAATGTGAGATTAACACTTTAAATCTAATTTAAACAAATGATCTACAAAATGCACAACACAGTATACATGTATAAAGTTCCAATCAAATCAGTGGTTCTCAGTATTATTCACACTTGTTGAATATGTATTTTACTGTGTAGATATGGATGAGTGTAGTGACAGGACTCACGTCTGCAGCGCTGATGCTGAGTGTGTGAACACTGCTGGCTCGTACCACTGTCGATGTTCAGATGGCTTTACTGGAGACGGATTTACCTGCTCAGGTCCATCATTCAGCCTTCTGTCTGTCTATCTGTTCAGTCTGTCCATCCACACCAACATACTTCCATCATACACCATACAAACCATCATTCACTGGTGTCTGGATATCCTGCAGATATGGACGAGTGTGCTGAAGATGTGGATCTGTGTGAAAACGGCCAGTGTCTCAATGTTCCTGGCGGCTATCGCTGTGAATGTGAGATGGGCTTCACACACACTCCAAACAGCAAAACATGTCAAGGTGCGCTTATCCACACACACACACACACACACACACACACACACACACATGATGACAGGATGACAAAGTTACTGCTGTTTGTCATCATTTTATGGACAGATAAGGATTCAGTCAGAAATGAAAATTCTATCATTTACTCAGCTTCATGTTGTTTCAAATTAAAATGATTCTTTCTTTCATTGAACACATAAGTAGAGGTTTTGCAGATTGAATGGGGATAGATGTGGTTGAGCTCCTTGTTCACTTTAGACTGAACAAAATAGTAACCTAAACATGGTAATAAAATCTAAATTAACTGATTTTATTCACAACAAAAATATTATTTTGCATTACTGAATCATCCTAAATAAATTTCTTAATGTATACCAACAAAACTAATATTTATGGGTTAAAGGTTTTTAAAGGTAATAATTGCAGGTTACCACCTCTTTTTACAGTTTAGTTATCAAATCTCATTTGTGATTCATGAATGAGATTCATACTAGCTGTGAAATGATTGGTCACGTGACACAAAGGAATAAGTTAAATTTTGCTCTGTCCCATGACTTTAGAAGACTTAATTAAGATTAAGATTATTAATGAGTCATATGGACTACCTCTAAGATACTTTATTTTATCTTTTTTTTGGTCCTTGACCATATAAAGTATCACTTTTTATCACATTAAAAAAACAAAAACAAAAAAACTTGTAAACAAAATGTTGTCTTCCACTGAAGAAAGCATGTCATGTGGTTTTGGAATGAGTTTCTGGGTGAACAATCTTTTTATATATATATATATATATAAAGACCAAAGGTTATTATTCTACAGCCTCATCAGTTCTGGATTTTTGTTTTCACATAGTTTATAAAGTGGACACGTCGGCAGTGTATCTATTGTGCAGTTTTTCAGAATAAAGTACATAAATTACTGTTATATTTTCTGTAAATCATATGCGTATGTTGCAGATATAGACGAGTGCACCTTCCAGAACATCTGTGTGTTTGGCACATGTCATAATATTCCAGGGATGTTTCATTGTGTATGTGATGAGGGCTATGAGCTGGACAGGACAGGTGGAAACTGCACAGGTAAGCATGCTGTTACTCTACAATATCAACAGCTGTTCTTCACCTCACACTGTGACTGCTTTCTGTGTTGTTGTGATGTCAGATGTGGATGAGTGTCTCGATCCCGTCAGCTGTGTTAATGGTCACTGTGAGAACACAGCCGGCTCATACCAGTGTAACTGTCCCATTGACTTTGAACTCAACCCCACTGGAATCGGCTGCGTTGGTAAGACTGATTATTAAATATAACTATATAACTCAATGCTATCACAATCATAGTACTTGCACATCATGATATGTAATGTATTTATTGTAAATCCTGCAGTCAAAGTGCTCTGTGGTCATCCATAAAATCTCACATGCAGTCTGTTGGTATGTTTCCATGCGGCAGACACACGAGTAGGGAACTGTTTTCTGGATGTGGTGTACCATGGCCGTGGTGGGCTGGCATGTAGTGTTGAGTTGGGGTTTGGAGTCAGTCGTTCGTCATGCTGCTGTTCTCTGGGACGAGCGTGGGGTAACCCATGTGACCTTTGCTCTCCACTCAACACCTGTAAGGAACTCTGCAACAATCCTCAATAGTTCAATACTACAGTACTTCAAAACAGCAGGAATTCGGTTATACAGTGGAACAATATGTCACTACTTCCATACTACATGCAGTTCAGTACTACTACACGTCAACATTTAAAAGATGAACACATTCTGAAATCAACGTCCCTAGGCACTTTCATTTAGGAATATTGTACGCAGGAGATTATTTTGATCTATAATACTATAATAACCCTATTATAATAGTAAATTAATGCTAACAATTCTAATTTACTCTCTTAATTACCTCAGTAAATCAATGCTATTATACTATATTACATAAATACTTAGGATAAAAGTATAGTATAATATCATAGTATTTCCGTAATTTTATTTAAATTAGTAATTTAAAGGCATTTTTTAATTAGCTTTTTTTTTTTTTCATTTAGTCTGTAGTTATTTTATTTTTCTGTAGTTATTCAAGGCACTTTCAGTATAATTTCATATCTTTTTGTGACAAAAACATTCGTAAGTTACTTCATATTGGCTTGGCATATTGAACAAATATTGATGAATATGAATGTGGTAGTTGACTGATGTGTGTATCATGTGTCTCTAGCGGAGTATAACACATTGTGTCCTGGAGGAGAGGGGTTCAAACTCAACCCCATCACCATCATCCTGGAAGGTAATCCGGCATCTTCACTGAACATACTGTTAATAACAGTTAATTATTCCTATGAAATTATTGAAAATACTTAAGCAATAGGGTAATAGAGGCTGCACCATATTGAGAATACAGTAAAGTCAAATCAAGACACCTTTATTTTTTGTAGCTCTTTATACAATAAAGATTGTTTCAATGCAGCTTTACAGTGAGAATCAGGAAAATAATGATTCAGTGATGCAAACAAAATTCAGTCATTATTCATTATTTAGTTTAAATCAGTTAATTGTTGATTCAGTTTGGTTTAATAGCTGTGGAAATGTCATCAATTATGGAAAGAGTTTTCATCTATAAAGCAGCCCTGGATAAATGTCACTATCAGTGATGTCATCATCAGCTCAGTTCAGTTCAAAGGTGACAGTGGCAAGGAACACAAACTCCATTGTGACAAAAATGGAGAAAAAACCTTGGGAGAAACCAGCCTCAGTTGGGGTTCAGTTCTTCTCTGGCCAGACAAAACAACATGGTTTGGATTTTTCTGGGCTGCATTACAAGTCAGAGTTGTGGACTGATATCTTTCTGAATATTTCATCCAGTTCCTTCTCTTTGAAGATCAGGATACGTTATGCCAGCGTTTAGTGGGGAGGGGAGGTGAAACTTGCCATAGAAAACATGTCTGGTTCTCGTGGTCTGTGCTGAGGATCTGTGCTGATGGTTGTTGTGGTGATAAGGTCTTCACAGGGGATCTGTCTCTGGGGTGCATCTAGTTGTCATGGTTTCCGCTGACATCAGGGCTGTTGTGGTCGTCTCTACGTGCTAATCCACCATCTGGTCTGAATATGGACTGGCTCCGTATGGCTACAGTGACCTCAAAATAAGAATGAAAGAGACTAATAATAGCGTAGATGCCATTCTTCTTATGATACTCTTGGTAGTACCTAGGATAGCAAAGTCCACTAAAGGAGGTAGAGCTTTTTCGCATTTGGCTCACAAACTCTGGAATAACCTTCCTCATAACGTTCGGGGTTCAGACACACTCTCTCTGTTTAAATCTAGATTAAAGACACATCTCTTTGGCCAAGCATTCAAATAATGCATCTCATAATCTTGTACTGCAGTTATTATTAGCATTATTATTCTTTAGTTTGGGTTAAACAAATCAATTTTGCTTGGTTGGAACAGCAACTACGCTAATTATGTCTCTATTTGTTTCTCTGTTTCTGCCACGGGATGTAACTAGGATTTACACAAGCTTCAGTCCGGATCCAGAACACCTGAGAAGAGATAATGCCAACCCCTCAGAGGACCTCAGATGATGCCAACCCTGAAACAACATACAGAACTACCACATTTTGCTATAAGTTTGATTGCATCATATAATAATTGCTGTAAATAGTGTTCATCGTCTGTTTGATTACGTCTTTAATTGATTACGTCTTTAATTGATTTTTCCGTACATTTCTGCCATATGTACATTAACTGACAGTCACCACTGATAAGCTACCACTAAATATTGTAGAAACTTAATTGCTGTAAAGTTGCTTTGCAATGATTTGCTAATTAATGCAGCCTAACAATCCTTTAAAGGATTTGAATTATAGAAAAGTTATTGTGTTATGTGTATGCCAGGTTAAAGAGATGGGTCTTTAATCTAGATTTAAACTGACAGAGTGTGTCTGCCTCCCGAACAACGCTATGTAGATTGTTCCAGGTGTTTGGCGCTAAATAGGAAAAGGATCTGCCGGTTGATTTTGATATTCTAGGTATTATCAAATGGCTAGAGTTTTGAGATCACAGCAGACGTGAAGGACTATAATGCGATATGAGCTTGCTCAAGTACTGAGGAGCTAAACCATTCAGGGCTATATTAGTTATTAGCAGGATTTTAGAATGTATGAGAGGTTCAATAGCCAGTGCAGTGCTGACAGAACCGGGCTAATGACATTGAGAACCAGGCTTCTGACATTGAGAACATGTGTGGGAATTTAGATATATTTTTGAGAGAGAAAAATGAAGTTTTACAAATGTTAGAAATGTGGCTTTCAAATGAAATATTACTATCAAAAAGCACACCCAAGTTTCTAACTGACGACATAACTGACAGCCGTCAAGTGTAAGATTGTGTTCTAGGTTATTATGTGTGGAGGTTTTTGGACCAATGATTAGATTTTTTTCCCCAGAATTTATTAGTAGGAAATTACTTGTCATCCAGTTTTTATGTCAGCTATGCATTCCATTTTGTAAATTTGTATGTTTCATCAGGTCGTGAAGAAATATAGTGCTGAGTATCATCTGCATAACAGTAAAAGCTAACACCATGTTTCTTAATGCTATCTTCCAAGGGTAGCATGTACAGGATAAAAAGCAATGGTCCTAGTGTTAAGCCTTGTGGTACTCCATACTGAACTTGTGATCGATATGATAACTCTTCATTTACTGCTACAAATGATGGCCATCAGATAAGTAGGCTATAAGTAGGTCCTTCATGGACAAATTTGGGCACGAAGGTCTCAGGAGTGATCCTATTTTTTTTTATTTTTTTTATACATTTCATATCACTATCTTTGATAAAATAAAAACTGTCAATTTATGCATTTTTTTTGTGATTTTTGGTGTTTTTTAAATTTATTTATTTACTTCTGAAAGTACCATATTTTTATGTAAAATATGCTTATTTTATGTTATAATTAATATTTATTTTACTTCAGTAAAAAATCAATCCAGTAAGTTCAGATAAAAAAATCAATCCAGTAAGTTCAGACAGCCAAAACCTAAAAATTGGTGTCATTGGTGACATCTGGTGATATATGATGGTATAAAAATATCAAAAATATCAATAGCCACTATTTGGCTGTAATACTCAATGGCTGCATATAAGCTGAAATCTATAAACCATTGTTGCAACGAACTTAACCTCTTAAGTTTTGGATTTTATCACAAGTTAAAATTGTAGAATTAAAAACAAACAAAAAATCATTTGGGTTGGGTGAGACTATACAAAGATGCCAAAATATGCTTACAGATAAATCTAACCATGCTATAATGAAAATACAAAGTAGGAGACAGAGTAATCAAAAATGAATCGGCAATGAATCGCCTGCGATTTTGAACGCAATTTTGCGTAGCTTGTCAGTGAACTACGGCTCTGTGTAGTAAATGCCGCTCCATCTGAAAGCACGTGCTGGAGATTTACTACTAATCACAGAACCGGCTTTACTGAAGGATTACTCCTTCATCATATGAATGGGTTTTTACAGAAGAGAAGAGTGGGCAATATCGCCACTTGTGTCCTACTTCCTCATCTGTCGCCCTCTCCAGTACTTGGGGGTCATTACGTAGAGTGCAAGTGTTTCTCTTGCAGTATGTGAGGGAAGGGGTAGTTACAGAATAGAATGACTGGGCATGACCACCATTAGCATCCCACTTGCCTTTCTGTCACTCTCCTCCAATACTGTGAGTATGGAGGTAGTATTAATGTGCTTCCCTTGTGAAAGAGAGCTGTGACGTGGGCCTTTTTGGGCTCGTCAAAGACCAGTCATGCTACTGCATTCTGAATCTGATTGCGTATGATGAAAGTCCAGCCAGTCCAGCCTAGAAATGACAAGGGTCTGAACAAGAAGTTGCGCAGCATGCTCCGCTAGGAAGGGCCTGATCTTCTTGATGTTGTGCAATGCAAACCTGCATAATCCAGCGTTTTTTTCAATGTGGTCTTTTTCAGCTGGTCATCAAAGCTTACACCAAGATTTCTGACTGAACCTGATGGGGTAATTGTTGATGAACCTAGCTGAATGGTGAAATCATGCTGTAGAGTCAGAGTGGCATGGAAGATGAGAAGTTCATTCTTTGCGAAGTTGAGCAGTAGGTGATGTTCTTTCATCCATGCCGACATGTCCGCCATGCAGCCTGAGATCCGTGCAGCTACCGTTGGATCGCCTGGTTGAAATGAAATATAGAGCTGTGTGTCATCAGTGTTACAATGGTAGGAGAAACCATGTGCCTGTATGATGGATCCCAGTAATGTAGTGTATATGGAGAAGAGGAGGGGTCCAAGAACTGATCCCTGGGGAACCCTAGTGATCAGTTGATGTGCTTTGGATACCTCCCCTCCCCAGGCAACCCTAAAAGACCTACCTGTGAGATAGGATTCAAACCAGTGAAGTGGATTCCCTGTGATGTCCAGTGATGACAGGGTGGACAAAAGGATCTGATGATTCACAGTATCAAAGGTGGTAGATAGATCCAGCAGAATGAGAACTGATGATTTGGAATCAGCTTTTGCAATCCGCAAGGCTTCAGTGACTGGCAGTAATGCAGTCTCAGTTAAATGGACTTCTGAAGCCTGATTGGTAAAAATCCAGTTGGTTATTCTGTAAAAGAAATAATGATACCTGGTTGAAAACAATTTGTTCAAGTGTTTTTTTCCATGAATCGGAGGAAAGAGGCAGGTCTGTTACTATCTACAATTGAAGTCTTTAATGTAGGCTTTTTAAGTAGTTACTCAAGCCTGCTTGAATGCGGTGGGGAAAATGCCTGTGAGAAGAGATGGTGTTGATGATATGTGTGAGTGCTGGTAAGAATGTTGGAGAGATTGCTTGGAGAAGGTGTGGTGGGATTGGGTCTAGAGGACAGGTTGTAAGATGGCTGGAGAGGAGAAGTTTGGAAACTTTAGCCTCAGTGGGACAGAAGAAGGAAAGGGGAGTTTTAGCAGTGGATGTGGTTGGTTTGAGTTCCTGTGTGCGTGGAGCTGAGAACTGACTGCTGATGGTTTTAGTTTTGTCTGTGAAGAATGTAGCAAAATCATCAGCTGTTAAAGAGGTAATGGAGGCGGACAGAGGAGAGAATTGAATGTTTTGAAGTGATTACTTGTGTCTGAAGCGCTGTTGATCATGTTGTGAAAGTATGAAGATTTGGCAGTATGGACTTCAGCAGAGAAAGATGAAAGCAAAGACTGATACATACTCAGGTCCGATGGATCTTTTGATTTGTGCCATTTTCTCTCTACTGCCCTGAGTTTGGACCTATGTTTTCGTAGAACATCAGATAGCCAGGGGTTAGAATGGGTAGCACGCACTGGCCTGGAAGAGAGAGGACATATATCGTCTAGACAAGAAGTTAAAGTAGAGCATAAAGTGTCAGTTGCTGCATTCACATCCAGAGATGAGAAATGGATGGGTGAGGGAAGAGAGGAAGACACCGGTAGAGTAACCGGTAGAGGGGTTGGTGGCACACTGGTAGTAAGATGTAGGTTAAATGTAATGAAGAAATGATCAGAGATGTGTAGGGGTTTTACCAAAAATGTTGTCTACAATACAATTGTGTGTAAATTAAGTCAAGCTGATTGCTTGATTTGTGAGTGCTTGTGGTGGTAAGCTGTTTGAAATCAAATGAAGCTAGGAGTGAGTGGAAGTCTGCAGTGTAAGGCTTCTCTAGAAGGACGTTGAAGTCACCAAAGACTACAAGTGGACTGCCATCCTCAGGCAATGAGGACAGCAGCCCATCCAGCTCCTCTATAAAGGTGCCCAGTTGACCAGGAGGGTGATAAATTGCTACAACATGGAGTTTTATTGGAGCTGTTACCGTAATAGCATGCGATTCAAAAGAGTTATTACTGTAAAGGGGAGAGTAGGTTGAATATTTCCAATTGTTATAAATGAGGAGACCAGTACCCCCACCCCTCCCAACCTGACGGGGGGTGTGAGAGTTGTTACAGAGGACAGCAGGGGTTGTTGAGTCTTCTGGATGAATCTAGGTCTCAGTTAAGCCCAAGATTCTAAGAGTAGAATGAGAAGCAGTTGCTGGAATGAAGTCTGCTTTGTTGACAGCCCGACTGACAATTCCAGAGACCCACAGAAAAAGAGAGAGGTGCAGTAGAGGAGGTGCAGATAGGACACAGGTTAACAAGATTGCGTTGCTGTCTGCATTCGATGTTAGAGCGTTGTTAAGAGACAACAGGAATGTATTGGAAACACGTGTGGAAAAGAGAGGGCAAAAAGGAAAGTGTGTAACAAGGACATTAAAATATACTTAAGTGCCATGTCGGTGTCTTTGCCCGAGTCAGTCCACACACGAGGAAGCTGAACATGAGGGCTGAACGCTTCCCCTGATGCACAGATAACAAATAAATACACCGCTTCTTGACTCTTGAGTGAAAATAGCTGTGGACACCTTCACAATTAGCACACCAAAAGGCTATAGCAGGCGAATGGCTCAAATCGAAACTATTGTGGGAGTTCACCACTTAAGTGCAGTAAACAAGCAATGCAAATATCAAAAGCTTCTTCTTAACCGATGGCTATAATTCTAATTACATATAAGTGCAATCAAAACATAAATTATATCGAAAGAAGAAAAAAAGGAATAAATAGTAAACAAAATAATCCTTCCTGTATAAAAAAAGGGTATTGAGAACTCAATATAAAAGGGTATTGAGAACTCACATACTGCAAGGGGAAAATACACTCAGAAGTGTTTTTGTCTTTGGTGTCAGATATTGATGAATGTCAGGAGCTGCCCAGCCTGTGTCAGGGTGGAAACTGCATCAATACATTTGGAAGTTTCCAGTGTGACTGTCTGACTGGATATATCCTCAACATGGACAGCCGCATGTGTGAGGGTGAGACAAGTGTTGCTATGGTCAAAAATACGTTTTGTCAGCTGACTGATCTTCAGAAAGGTGAGTTTGACTCTAAGCTATGTTTTTCAGATATTGATGAGTGTATGCTCAGTTCAGGCGTTTGTGGTCCGGGCACCTGCTACAACACACTGGGAAATTACACATGTGTCTGCCCACAGGACTACATGCCAGTGAATGGAGGACACAGCTGCATGGGTGCGTGAGGCAGAGTACTTCACATCCTCTGCTGTAGCAACTGATAAAGACAGTACAGTAAATTAAATGTTTAATAGTTTGAATAATAATAATAGCTTTTATTTACATATGTTTTTATCTACTTATGTGTGTTAGTGTACTTTGTTTATGACTGTCTATTTTTTGAAGAATGCAAACTACTAAAATTGTAGGATTGTGTGTTGTTTTAGATATGAGAAAAAGTCTGTGTTACCGTAACTACAGTGGTAGTACCTGTGAACACCAGCTTAATTTCAACACCACACAGAGATTGTGCTGCTGTGCCTACAATGTGGGCAAAGCCTGGAGCAAACCATGCCAGGCCTGTCCGAGCCCTGGCACAGGTGAACGCACGCATTTACTTAATGTGACTGTAATGTTTTTTAAAGACACACAAACCCTAATTTTCAAAGAGCATTATTATAATTTATGAATAACTTCATTTCTTGACATTCCTGAATGTCCTCATACAGAAAGTTTCCCTTTCATATCTGTCAGTAGCCAATGCTATGAGAACTGCAGGAATGATGACCCCTCAAGCCCTTCAAGGTGCAGGATTAAAGTCTATTGAGTCTATTGAGGCTCCCATTGCGTCAATCTCATTCCTTAATTCCAGACCTTTTGTTAGATTCAAATTCTGGGGACAGTTGTGCTTCCGAACTATAGCTGAGCCAATATGCAAACATTCTCTCTATGTTTCTAGGTGACTATAGAAGTCTTTGTGGCAGTGTAACCGGATTCAGGATTGACATTGAAACTGGAAAGCCGAAAGGTAAAGACAAATTTCGTTAGAAATGGTAGGAATTGTTTTTACTTCATGTTTAATGGTTTTTGATCTGATCTTTTCAGATATTAATGAATGTCATGAAATCCCAGGCGTCTGTGCTCATGGTGTGTGTATAAACCAAGTAGGCAGTTTCAACTGCGAGTGTCCCACAGGCTTCATTTACAGTGATCTGCTGCTCGTCTGTGAAGGTCTGATGGCTACTTTCTCTGTATTCACACAGAATAAATTTTTGTTATGTAACATATACTGAATTCTAAACAGCGGAGAGCTGTAATTCTTGTTTTGAAAAAAAGAAAAAAAACATGACATGCTCTCTGTTGTTAGTGTGTTTTTTAGGTCATTGTTTTATCAGAATCAGAATCAGAATGAGCTTTATTGCCAGGTATGTTTACACATACGAGGAATTTGTTTTCGTGACAGAAGCTTCCACAGTGTAACAGAATGACAGTGACAGAACAAAAAACACAGATAATAAAAAATAAAAATAAATAAAAAATAAAAAATAGAACAAGTAAAATAAGGAATAAAAAATATACAAATCGACAATCGACAATTGTATGTCCAGGTATAGAACAATAGACAGTTGTATGTACAGGTATATTATGTGCAAATTGAAATATAGACTGAGTATGTGTGTTAGATAAATAAGTGTATGAGTGTATAAATAGTGTGTGTTCCACAGTTATTGTCAAGTGTTCATGAGATGGATGTAGGCAAACTGAAGAGGATCCAGCAAGGGTCCAGTGATGTCCTTCAGGTGGGCCAGCACCAGTTTTTCAAAAGACTTCATGACCACAGACGTTAGAGCCACAGGCCTGTAGTCATTAAGTCCTGTAATTTTGGATTTCTTTGGGATGGGGATGATGGTGGAGCGTTTGAAGCATGAAGGGACTTCGCACAGCTCCAGTGATCTGTTGAAGATCTGTGTGAAGATGGGGGCCAGCTGGTCAGCACAGGATTTCAGACAGACTGGTGTAACACAATCTGGGCCTGGTGCTTTTCTCCTTTTCTGCTTCCGGAAGTCCTGGCGCACCTCATCTTCACTGATCTGAATTGCAGGTGTTGGGGGGAGGGGGGTTGCTGGAGGTGTGAATGGTTGTGTGGAGAGGTGTTCAGGGCGGGTGTGGGGTGTTTTTTCAAACCTGCAGTAGAACTCATTCAGATCATCTGCCAGTTGTTGATTCTCCACAGTGCTGGGGGATGGTGTCTTGTAATTGGTGATTTCTTTTAGACTTTTCCACACTGATGCCGAGTCGCTGGAAGTGAACTGATTCCTTATTTTTTCAGAATAATTCCTCTTTGCCACTCTGATCTCCTTTTCCAGTGTGTATTTAGCCTGTTTATACAAGACATTATTCCCCTTCCTGTGAGCATCTTCTTTGGCCTGACGGAGCTGTCTGAGTTTTGCAGTGAACCATGGTTCGTCATTGTTGTAAGTTAAATGCGTCCTGGTAGGAATGAACATATCCTCACAGAAACTGATGTATGATGTTACAGAATCTGTGAGCTCGTCCAGATCGGTGGCAGCAGCTTCAAAAACACTCCAATCAGTGAGGTCAAAACAAAGCTTGTAAATCCTGCTCTGCTTCATTAGTCCATCTTTTTACAGTCCTTAATACAGGTTTAGCTGATTTCAGTTTCTGCCTGTAGGTCGGTATAAGATGAACCAAACAGTGATCAGAGAGCACCAAAGCTGCTCGTGGAACAGAGTGATATGCATTCTTTATTGTGGTGTAACAGTGATCCAATATATTACTGTCTCTGGTGGGACATGTGATGTGCTGTCTGTATTTTGGCAGTTCACGGGAGAGATTTGCTTTATTAAAGTCCCCGAGAATGATTAAAACAGAGTCCGGGTGTTGTTGTTCTGTCTCTGTGATCAGATCTGCGAGTTTCTGTAAAGCGGAGCTCACGTGCGCTTGCGGAGGAATGTACACACTTACGAGAATGAACGAGCAAAACTCCCGCGGCGAATAGAACGGCTTGCAATTAATGAAGAGCACTTCTAGATCTGAACAGCACATCTTCTTTAACACAGTTACATCTGTACACCACCTCTCATTGATGTAAAAGCATGTCCCGCCGCCGCGCGATTTCCCCGTTGATTCTGCGTCGCGATCTGCTCTAAACAGCTGAAAGCCCGGCAGACTCAACGCGCTGTCCGGAATGGCGTCTTTCAGCCAATTTTCCGTGAAACCCAGAGCAGCAGAGTTTGAAAAATCCTTATTTGTCCGGGAGAGCAGAAGGAGTTAAAACATCAGAATAGTCGAAAACCGGTGAAATATCGGGTGGTGTGTACTGCCGAATGTCCAGCAATTCGTCTCTGGTGAAACTGATCGCAGGGATATAACTAAAGACAGGACAAACTAACAAAAACATAAAAACAACTGCGGAGCACGCCACGGAGGCAGCCATCAGCGTC